CCCGTGCTTAGGATGGCTCGCGGGTTTTCACCCCGGTGACTCGCTGAGGCCCCGGTCCATGTCGCGTTGCCGGCGCGTAGACAGACCCCGCGTTGCGGGTGGGCGCCGCGCGGGATGCAGCGGCGGAGCATCCCGGAGGCACGGCGCGGGCTTCGGGTCGGCGGAGCGGGAATGGTTTCGGGGATCTCCAGGCGGAGCGCTGCGAGATCCTCGCTGGCGCACAGGGAGAGCGTCTGCTTTTTGTAGTATTCCTCCGCTTCGCTCACGCAGAAAATAAAAATCAGAAGTTACTAAAACTGCCGTAGGAAACTTATTTTTGCGTGTCTACTGCTTTGTGAGCAGGTGCACGTGCCAGTAATCTTGAAACTTGGGGAAAAATCAATGTTTGCCTTCCCTTATTAGTACGTGCTCGTTTTCCCGAGGGAAGCTGTGGTTCTGAGGGCATTGAGTTACTGCCAAACCCTGCGCTCCTCTTGAGGATTCTGCAAATAACTCTTTTTTACGCTGCTTTTAGAGAGGCAGGGTACCTGTAGAGCAACGTGTGGTATATTGAGGTGTTGCCATGACAAAGAAATCAGACGAAAATAGGTTGGTTTTTGCGTTGGCTACGTTTCGGGTTAGTGGCTGCTTTAGTGTTTGGTTCTCCCTTAGTTCTCTTTGCATGTGAGCATTGTGTTGCTGGAGGGAATCAGCTTAGTGGTCTTGTGAGTTCCAGCAAGGCTGACTTGGCAGGGATGGATCGAGTGAACTGCACCCAGTTGCCTTTTTCTTTACAAGTGACTTTTAACTGGGGGATTTACTCGTTTGCCGTGGATATTCGAGGTTTCCTTGATCGTGTTCCATAAGAAGTTTGTACCATGTCCACTTTGTCTTCTGCTGCTCACCTCACTTTAAGAGAAAGTGGATGTCCTCGGTACCAGAGGTCCCTGCATTTCGCCACTCCGTGTACTCAAATATGTACAAAGACCTGAAGATTTCCGTACAAAGACCTGAAGATTTCCATGCAACAGCTCGTCTCTTTTGTTGTTTGCCTTTTTTTTTTTTCCCACTCCCCCCAACTATTTAACATTGATTTATAGCCACAGAGTGCTTTGCAAGTCCTGGAAACTCCCCATCACTCTAAGTGTCTTCAGCACAGCCGAGCTGGCCTGTTGAGGAGTACTTGTGTAACCCGTAAAGGATCGAAGGCGTAAATTGCTTTGCAGGCTTTTTGGGAGAAGGTGGTGATAAATGTAGGATACTGTTAAGCTGATTATAGTGATTAGAGTATTTCACAACTTCAGTTTCACAACTTTTTGTATTTGTACAAATCAATCTCTGAAATGCATCTGGGTAAATAGGTGAAAAGAATGCTTTTCTGCTGGGGAAGGGGTGTGATGGTGGTGGGGAACTGCTTTTTGTAGAGGGTTGGGTCTGGGGTTTTTTTATTATTTTAAACTATTGCCAGCTCATTAAAAAATGCTGAGTTTGGGACTACTTAAGAAAAAAAAGCCTCCTTTCTCTCCCCACCAATCTTCAGTGAACTAATGTTACACTTGCACTGGAAAGGAAACTGTTTCAACTGGTTTGAAAGTCAGACTTAAACAATGTTAGCTTGAACTGACTTGGAAGACGAGGTATATGTTTTACCAATAGACCCAAAATATGTGAAGTTGCCTAAGCTGGCAGGACAGCATTTTCTGCAGATGGCCCACTTTCACCTGTGGGCGCAAGGTCCAAGTTGTCCTGGAGCTTTCTTGTTCCCAGCAATCTCAAAATGTTCAGAGTAAACGTATTTTTCCCAATAAATCTTTTGCCTTCCCTTGTCAGAAAAATTTGCTGCCAAATTGATTTTGAGGCCCCTTTGACCGATTTTTCTTTGTCATCTGTAGCTAATCGGCAGCTTCTAGGTGGCGTCTTCAGATACGCTCTGAGAGAGGAGACCCCTTCCGAAAGCTCTGGGGGAAAGAGATGTTAACGTTAATTCACACTTTTCCAGTTCCACGTGGGAACTGGTGCAGGTTGCAGCTGGGGAGTATCACGTAGGACGTGCTGGAGGTTTTGTAGGTGGTAGGCCAGCAAGCGGGTGTAACTTTCTGGGCTGGATTGGGTCAGTTGTGCCCTGGATATAGGCTGCTGTAATCCAGCTGAGTTTGGTCAAATTAATCCTGATTCACACTGAGCGTGAGTGAGATCAGAATTAGGTTTCTGGACTTTTTGTGTTGACTAATCCTTGCAGTGCACTGAATCAGAATATGAACCCTGTGAAACTGGGGCAGCTAATTTTGAAGAACTTCAGGAATGTTTTTCATGTGTTCTAACAGGTGGCTTTTTTTCTTTTATTTTTTCTTAACGATTCAAGTAAAAGGCCCGTGTTGGTTCTTCAGAATGACTCTCTCTACTCCCAGAGACGTCCTTACACCAGTGAGGATGAGGCCTGGAAAACCTTCCTTGAAAATCCCCTTACGGCAGCTACCAAAGCTATGATGAGCATCAATGGTGACGAAGACAGCGCGGCTGCCCTCGGACTGCTGTATGATTACTACAAGGTAGATTGGCGTGGGTACGCTCCAGCAGGCAGCGGAGCTCTTGTTCCGCCTGCTGAAAAGGTGTCGTTTGTCAGAGGATTTTACAGGAGCTTTGAATAGATCACGAGGACTTTAAACTATGTGGGTTTTAAATGAAAAAACTTCCATATCCCTTTCTCTGAAAATGGGGTTATTTTTAGCTCGGTAAAATAAGATTCCCCTTGGTCTTAATGGAGTGGGTCAGGAGCTTCAGTAGCACTTTGCCTGTCGACTCCACGTTCTGCAGGAGGCAGTGTATTATAGAAATAATCATGAAGAACAAGGTTTGGGCAGCACGTCTCTCTGTGAATGTAAAGACACACAGAGAAAGAAACTTACCTGCTTTTGCTTACGTGATCCCTGTTGAGGTGGGACCCTTGGTGTTTGCTGGGGCTTTGGTGTGCTACCTTAGTCTCGGCTGAAACTAAGCTATGACTGGATTCCTGGTGGTGCGTGGGGTGGAAGTGTCAACCTGGAGAGTTGCTGTCTGCATCCCTCTAACCTTCAGTGAGCTTCAGCTGCCGTAATCTGTTAATCCTCTGACGACTGTGGTTGTCTTCCCCAGCGTTCGTGGTCCTCTCAGACGCCTGCCTTCCTGGCTGCTCACGGGTGACCTGAACGCAGTCAGACAGAGAACCCTCTGGCTTGCCTGGGGTGCATTTTGCTGAGGTTTCTTCCTAAATACCAGAAGCCTGGGCCCGGGTAGTTATCTCCGCTCCACGTCGGAGTCAGCGGAGACCAGCAGGCGTTTCCAGGCAGGGACGCGTCTGCTTGTGTCGGGCGCGTGCGTTACGGCAGCCTGGCTCACCGGGTGGAGACGCCTGGCTTTTTCTTTGCTGAGCGTGCAGGAAGGCGGGAGGCTGACTTGGCTGGAGCGCCTCACGCTTGGGCTAGTGTCTTTTTACAGTAGCGAGTGCAATTGCCAGCCTTGGTGCGTTCCTCAGGCATACGGAGAGGTTGCCTTGTGCCTAAAAAATCCTTGCCTGCCCTGAAGAGGTGAACGTGTCTTATGTATCAAAATATTCTTGTAATGCTTAATATGGAGATTAGCACTCCGCACACACGCACGTGACAAAATGCCACAGACTCACTGACGTGGATGTTATTCAGGAAGTTTTGTGAGAAAACTGGCTTTCTGCTTTGTGCCTATGCTTGCTGTGCTTTTGGGGGAGAAAGAAAAAATCCAAACCCCACAACACGTTCGTCAGAACAGTTTCCAGACTGATTTCAGTCCGCAAGATCAGTTTTGATTTCTGGACCTGTAGATTACAAAGAGAACGTTGATGTTGATCCTTCACGCTTGGCAAAGCAGAAGGGATTTGCTGTAGGTTAGTGTCTAATTCGGGGTTTCCTCTTCTGTTTGGGTATGGGTGGGTGTACAGAAAAATCAGTGGTAGAACGGGTATGGCGGCCGCTGAGGTGACGCAAAACTGTTGGAGGCTGAGAGATTTGTCGAGGGCTGTTGCGAAGTGATGCTCGAGGGACAGCATCCGGGCATTGCTAATACACCCCCTCTGCCAAATTAAGGGCAGCTGATGAGATCGCTTTTGTATTTAACCCAAACAAACAAACCCTGACACAAAACCCCAAAACAAACAGACAAAAAACCCAAACAAAGGAAGGAACCCAAACAACTCGGTTTTTCTTCCGTTTGACTAATGGAGCTGTTAGCTCAGCTGGAGTTAATAAGGCCTCATGGGAAACCCATTTTTTTTGATCAAAATCTAGTGTTTCGGAGTGTTGGCCCAATGCAGCTTCTAAGACCCTCATTTTTCAGTGACTGGTTACTGTTGCTCTCCTAGCAGTCTCCACATGGAGGTTCTCCAAATTTTGCCAGTTATATTGGAAAATGCAACCATTCTGGTGTTAGTGGAGGTTCCAGGTTACGTGGAAGAGCCAGGGCTTGTGTTTTAGTCGGGGGCTGTGTAGAAATGTGCTGCTCGCGCAGGTACGCCGTCAGCCGTGGAGACAGCAGTAAAGCGGTGGTTCCCCGCGTCGCGCCCAGGCTGGCAGATGCGGGCAGTATCCGAGCAGGCTTCAGCGAGGGAAGGTGATGGGTGTTTACTCCTCCTTACACCAGAACGTGTTTGCTTTGCTCGTTCAGGAGGCGTGTTGAGGGTGACAAAGGTCCTGGGCACCATGCGTGTGTTGGCAGAGGAGCTTGTGTGGGCTTGCTGCGCGGTCCCGGGGACTCGAGCACCACAGGCTTGTGTCAGCGGCGGTGAGAGCCGTTCGGGTCGCTTTGTGCTGGGATCAACCGAGCTGCCACAGGTCGAAGAGTTCACCTTCTGTATGCCTTGGCCTAGCTGCACAGCCGGGAAGATGGCATGTGTCCGTGTGGATGAGGTGGCTTGTGTGATCAGTGTTGGGGTATGTGCTGTTTTCAGGGCATATCCTGGGATAAAATACACAGAGCAGTACTGAGCTGTCTTAAATCCAGAGCGCACTGGTGGTTACCTTCTCTTTTTAAAAGATTTAACACTGTTTGGGTCAGTGTGTTGTATGTGGCCATATGCAAAAATGATCTGTATCCCAGTACACTTACTGGACCTAGTCCTCCCTGAGGAGAAGGGAAAGCTGGGAGTGGCCTGGAGAGCACATGTGCTTGAGAAAGGTACTGTGGAGCAGCACCCTTTCATAAGCCTTGAGCTTATCCAGCAAACGGAACCCCGCAGAGGGGAAAACCTGGACCATCAGCATGAACCTTGGGAGCTCTCCTGATTCTGCTCACCCCAGTGCTGGTGCTTCAGCCAGGGATGTCCAGTTTTCTGCACTGGCTCTCCCACTGCCTGACGTTGGCCAGAGCCCAGGGCTGGCACAGCCAGCTGGGTCGGATACATGGGGATCTGCAGGGCATTGCCTGGGGCAGGCCTGGCATCCCAAAGCCGTGTGAACACTGGTCAGGCTGTAATGCTAATAATGACTGATTCCAGGGAGTGATGCTTTCTTAATTTGACCAAATGACTGTGTTTTGAGGAGCCTTTTTTTTTTTAATGGGAAGAATGCCATTACAGCATGTCTTGTATTTCCCAGGTTCCAAGGGAGAGGAGAACTTCAACAGCTAAACCAGAGGTAGAACATCCTGACCAAGACCATAGCAAAAGGTATGAGTGTTTATTACTGTATGTCTGCTTATCTCGTTCCCTCCTAGACCAAGAAAGCTGCTGAAAGTAAATGACTTGCTGCCCCAGGGACAGGATGGGGGCGTCATACAGTCAGCGTAGCAAAACCTGTTCTCTTTAACGCTAGGCACAGCCTGGTAGCACAGGCACCCCTTCAGTTTTTCCATGCGGTTGCCTCAGTTGCTCAGCGCTGATTGTGTTCTCTGGCACCAGCAGCATTGCTTCTTCGTGCATGGGCTGATAGGGAAGAACTTCAAAGTGCTTGCGATTTAGTTTTGGGTTTGTATTGTTTGTGGACTTCTTTTGTATCCTCTGGAACTCCTTTCTTCCTCTTCTGCCTCCCAAGCAGAAGATACTGATTAAGTAAATACTGCGAATGTGAGGTTCATTCAAGCCAGGCTTCTTCTCCTGCCATCCTCTTCCTTTGGGCAGACTAAAATGCTTTAAGGACTTGAGGTGAGGCTTTGTGGTCTGGCTAAGAGCAGCCTGGTTCCCAGCCATGTGTTCCCTCTGCTCCCCTCCTACCAGCTCTGGTCTTCTACTGACCCATAACCTAGCAGGAAAAAAAGCAGTGGCTAGTTTTCTGCCAGTGGAACAAGCTGAACTGGATCACCAAGGGGAGAGGGGAGTGTTGGAATTGGTGCAAAGGAGAGGGCAGGACCACGTTGTGGGGAGGGAGAAAGGGAGGCTGACTTAGTGGCTACTGGCTACGAGGTCAGCTCAGCGACAGATCTTGGTGTTGTCCTGGCAGAAATGAGTGTGGTGGGGTGGAGAGCGTGAAGTTGCACAAACCGCTCCAGGGAGTCTTGGTGTGGATTTCTTTGGGGGTCTATGTATGGAAGAGCGAGGTAAATTCTTTATTAGTGCTTCCCATGTAGCATGCAGTCCTAGGGCAGAGGAGCAGCAACCTTGCTCTCACTCCTCTGTCCGCCAAAGCCCAGCTTCCTGGAGCCTGTGTGTGCCGATGTGTGATGGGAAGGGCCTCGGAGCGCTTGGTTTTGGACCGCTGTTACCCAGGCAGTGAGAATCTGGGCTGTGAACCCTCACCCTTTGCTCCAGGATAATCCATCTCTAAGGTGGGGTTGCTAGCAGTGGGTGAGGTTTCTTTTTAGAGTGAGTTTCTCAGCTGCTCAGGTTAGAATTGAGCCGTTCTGTGCAAGCAGGAGAGTCGATATCAGCTGTCCTTGTCCAAAAGGCTGAGAAGCGTTTCTAGCTCTTGTTTAATGAGAAAATGAGCTGTATAATTTATGCATGATTTCTTTCTTTGTCCTTTAAAGGAACAGCATCCCAAATGTGACAGAACAGTCGCTCGTTTCTGCTGGAGAAAACAGAGTCCAGGTTCTGAAAAATGTGCCTTTCAACATTGTCCTTCCACACACGCCCCAGATGGGCATGGACAAGAGAGGCCACCTTACGACCCCCGACACGACAGTCACCGTTTCGATTGCCACGATGCCCACCCATTCCATCAAAACGGAGACGCAGCCCCACGGCTTTGCGGTGGGCATCCCGCCGAGCATCTACCACCCCGAGCCCCCCGAGCGGGTGGTGGTCTTCGACAGGAACCTCAACCCCGACCAGTTCAGTTCCAGCACCCAGCCTCAGAACTCCCAGAGGCGAACACCGGACTCCACCTTCTCCGAGACTTTCAAGGAGGGCGTGCAAGAGGTACCCAGAGAGGCAGTCGCTGCGCTTGCGTGTCTTGATCTGAATGGAGAGATCCAGTGCCATCTTTAAGTGTTCTCGTTACGCAAGCCAGAAAGCTGTCCCGTGATTTAGTAATAGAAGACTTTCTCAGAAAGGCGCATAACTTAGTAAATAAAATCTACGCAACGTGAAAGCGTTATCAAAAGCAAATGACTCGTCTTATTAGGGACAGGGCCTTTTGGCTTGCAGAGCGTGGAGATAATTATCCGCAGCACCAGGCCACGTTTGGCAAGAGTTGGGCTCTGTGTGGTGCCTCTGCAGATACCGCAGGCGGCGAGGTGGCTCTGTCTGTGAGCTTCCTTACTCCAATTCCTAGGTGTGGTGTGTGTCAGCACAAGCCAGTCAGCTTATTTGGGGACCTCGATTGAGAGTGAAGCCTGGATGAAAATCCCTGCTTTTTGTTTTGCAGTACCAACTGAAACAGCACTGTAACTGTGTTGTGATTTTTTTTTTTCTTTTTAAGCCAGACCTCAAGGAATTGTGTGGCTGTGCCCTTTCTTTGAGATTTGGGAAAGCGTTCAAATGTTGCCCCAAGCTGACTCAGAAGACTTGTGGGATGCCGTACTTAGTTGACACCCAAAGATTTTGGATTAAAAGCTTGCTCAAGTGCCCTGTCTGTACAGACCAAAAATCAGTTGTTATCTGATGATCAGTTTGCCTGCCAGAAGTTCTGTGGTAACAAGTATCTGTTTAATCTTGACTTTTCTTGTTGCTGCTGTGTTAATTGTGGTGGTGTTTTGTTTTGTGTCTACCCCAGGTTTTCTTTCCTACTGAACTGAATCTGCGGATGGCCAACATGAATTCAGAAGATTATGTTTTTGACAGCATTTCTGGGTAACGCTTTGAGGCTCCCGTTTGCCTGTACCCTCCTGTTATTTTACAGCTGGCTTGTCCACGAGCAAGCTGTACCGCTCGCTCTCTTCTGCGCTGAGTCTGTTAGGCGCTGGGGATGCAATGGATCTCAAACTCGCAACCATGCCTGCTCATTTGAATTTCACAGTTGAAAATCCTGCCTGTATCTTTAAAGAAAACTACACGTAGGGTTGGAAATACCACCCTGATTCAGTCGATGTCCTCGCACCGACTCCCTGTCCCAGGGGAAGATGCAGTGCTGTCTCTCAGCTCTGTGGTGGTCTCATGGCTGGCTTCCAGCTGCGTCCCTCTCCCTGCCCTGCTTACCTTGCCTCTCCTTGCTGGAAATCTGCCCCAGAAATGGGAAGCATGAAACTCACCTGAACTCCAAGGGAGGGGAGTTTGTTCGGTTAGCTGCAGTTGACCAAGAGGGAAGAGGAGAAGACCGTGGCCATTGAATGGCTTATTAGCTTGTGAATTTAATTGCTCATAGATACTTGTTGTGAGAGCTGCTCTCAGCCTGAATAGTGAGCTTCCAGTCTTGCTTGATGTGTCTTGGGATTTAGCTTGCCAAGAACTTCTCTTAAATGTTCATTCATGAAGGAAATAGTTGAAAAAGGGGCTCATCCTGTTTTCCAACTTCCTTGCCTGTTGATGGCTTAGTGAGTCAACTAACAATTTTGGAATCTCTCCAGATTAAATGTGGAACGTTTAATCGGCTTTCCAGGAAAATGCCTTAGCAATCACTGCCCTCTTCACTCCGTAGGAATAACTTTGAGTACACTCTGGAAGCCTCCAAGTCCCTCCGACAGAAGCCTGGGGACAGCACGATGACTTACCTGAATAAAGGTCAATTTTACCCAATCACGCTGAAAGAAGTCAGCAGCAGCGAAGGAATCCATCACCCCATCAGTAAAGTCCGAGTGAGTGGCAGCTCCTGTGGTTTCTTGGGAAAGAGGGTGTGTGCAATGGTAGCCTTAAACTCTCCCAAAGTGCAGTAATCTAAGCGAGAGCATCAGCACTGAGGCCAGCTTACCCGCTGTTACGTCAATGCTCGTTCCTTTGCTGTCCACCTACTTGCAGACCAACCCATCCTGGCTCAGTCTGCAGAGAAGTGGTGTCAGCACTTGTGTAAAGGTGATGCAACACCTGGAGTGAGATCCTTGAACTCCAGTTAGGAGAGCAGTTCTGCTCATCTCTCTTTATGACCCAGAAAACACTGTTGTCTGCCTTCCTGTTTGGCAGCGCTGTGCTGGGTATACTGTGGTGCGTCAGGTTGGAAAGCCTGGAGCAGAAAACCTGACACCCAGGAGAACTTCCAAAACAAATGTACTCTGTGGCCTTTTCTATCTCGTGTGTTTGCAGTTTATTTTTTTTTTTTTTTAATCTTGCCCACTCCCCCTCTCTTTTCAGAGTGTCATCATGGTCGTGTTTGCTGAAGACAAAACCAGAGAAGATCAGCTCAGGCACTGGAAATACTGGCACTCAAGACAGCACACAGCCAAACAAAGATGCATTGACATAGGTAAGGAACATTCTCGTTGCTGATGTCAAACTCCAAACCTAATTCCTTGGCAAGGGTTGTTTTTCTGCTGAAGCTTTGTTATTTGAAGGAACCGTTGGCTTATGTTCTCTGCTATCTGTAGATTTGCTGAAAGCCCAGAGAGAGCTTTTGATTGCTTGGAGCTAATGCTGTGGGTTTTAGCACTCCTTAAAGAGGTTGATTTTTGGAGGGTTTGGGTTGGTTAGCAGTCAGAGTCTAGGGTTTTGCATTGGGAGATCTAACACACCTCCTCCAAACTACAGTTGCTTTGGCGTCTTCTGGTGCTTGTAGCTAAATTGCAGCTTATAGACTCTGTGGCTGTCCTAAATATGGTGTTTCTTCAAAGGACAAGATCCTCGTAGAAATACCTCGACACTAATGATCCTCCTTCCCACCGCTTCGCTCACAACTGGTCTTTGGTACATATAAAAAAAAAAAAGAAAACACTGCAGATTTCCACTTGCCTCCAGACAAGGCTGGGGTTGGCTGGCTTCCAGCCCTCTCTGGCTGAAGGCTGGGTTGTACTCCTAGTCCCTTCCTTCTGTGGATAAAAGCAGCGATTAATCACTTGGCACTTAAAGCAGACGCGCATGCAAATCTTTGTTTGTTGTTGAAGGAGTTTTACTGAGAGCTTATGCCCTTGCCGTACAGGGTAGAGTTTCCCCGCACATAGCAGGCAGTGGTGCAGGATGTGCGATATTTGGGATGCCTGCCTTTCTCACTGGAGTTTCTAGTTTGGAATTTCTGACCGAGTCCCCGTTTTCCTCCTTCCTCCTGTTGGTTGTATTCTGGTTTTGTATGGTTTACGTTTTGTTTCTGGCTGCTTTGTGTGATTATCTCCTCTTCCTCCTCCTCACGCATCCTTCTTTCTAACAGCTGACTACAAGGAGAGCTTCAACACCATCAGTAACATTGAGGAGATTGCATACAACGCCATATCCTTCACTTGGGACATCAATGAGGAAGCAAAGGTATGTGGCCGTGATTATATTTCCTGTCCTTTTAGCAGATTCAGGGGCTGGGGGAGGGGAAGGGTGTGTGGCCTACCTGGTGATTAGCATGTAACAAGTTTGTTTACTCTTTTATGTTAGGCAAAACCTTCTGGCTATTTCTTAAGAGGGTTTGCATGTGCAACTGCTTTAAGGTTCTTGGCAGAACTGCCTGCCTGACAGACAAGTACTGACAAAAGGAAGCACCGAGCCTTTCCAGAGCAGATGAAGTGATGTGGGAGGTGTGATGGAGCGTAGCTGGGCTTGGCAGTGAGCACAGCCTCCTGGATGCTACCCTGCGCCGGGATCCTCCGAGAGGGTTAAGGCTGTGGCAATGGGCTTGCCTTTAGCAGAAGAGGGAGTAGCTGCTGCATTTGAGCTTCCAAAGCATCCGCTGCTGAAACCACGGATCCCAACACCCAGTGACCTATTTCAAGCTGGAGCAGCCTCCTGGTGAACTCTGGTTTGATCTCTTTTCAGAACTGTGGGCACTAGGGTAGATGCTTTAGTACGAGCAGATTCCCTAGCTAGTAGCTAACTGCAGCTGTTTGAAGCCACTCCAGCTTTTGGAAAAGGTGTGTGCCTTTTGGGTGCAAGGACAGCAGGTCAGAGAGTGGAGTCACGTCGATTCCAAAGGCATTTCCCACCAGTTTGTTTGGGGAGTCAAAGAGCTTTCTTTGGAGAGGAGTTTTCTTTGGAGAGTTTTGTTCCTGCCTGGGTTTTTGTTAAAAATTGGGAACATTTTCCATCAGTTTCTGGAGACTGGCTGCTGCCTTGCTAGTGCCTCACGTGCTAGCTGCCAGCATCCTGGGGAAAACTACTGATGGCTGCAGAGCGCCTTGTCTAGGGCGAGCCTGGCTGGAGAGACGGAGGAGCTCTAGGCAGAGAATGCGAAGGTCCTTCCCTGGAGCTGTGTGTGCCACTGCAGGAGGGACAAGGGGTGGCGTCACTGCGCAGAGCTCGCTGTCGCTGTGAGCTTTGCTCTGTGCCACGCAAGGGCTGAGGAGAAGAGAGACAGGGAGACATCGCAGGGGGCTGCTGTTGGGTTTCATCTCTTTGGGGGAAGTTTGGGATGCTTGGCAGGCAGCAGTGAGGAGCTGTGTGCGCTGCTGATGGAAGTGCTGCCTTGCGGCATGGGTGACATTGCTTGTGAGGCTGGCGCTGGGTGCCAGGCTTCCCTCTTCGCCAGGTTTGGCTTCAGTGGGGTTGAGGGGGATGGCAGGGAGGGCCTTACCTGCTGGAGATGCTAAAAGGCTGTCGTGATTCTTGAAGCATGAAGCGATTTGCTGTGGGAACCAACAGATGAAGCTGCAGAAGGGCTGTGAAAAGGAGGCAGTAAGTGTTCCCAAAATGTTATCCTGCTGCTATACCCAGCCTAACATTTAAGGAACCTGAGTAATCTGTGTCTGCAAAGAACTCAGTGGTTTAGGATTTATGCACAGGGATGGATAGTGCAGACAAAGCGATGATTTTGGGTCCCCAAGGAGCTGGAAGCTCTTAGCAGCTCTGCAGCTGCCTCTCTGCTGGCTGAGCCACCCTACAGCAGTAAGGATGGGCCGCTAACCTGTGAGCAGGCCTTAGAGCTGGTGCCGGGATCCCCGTGGCATTCCCAAGGAAAGCCATCCCATCCCACCAGGTGACAGTCTGGCCCTGTGAAGCAGGTGGTTACTGCCCAGGTACTCGGCAGACCTCTGAATGAGTAGTTCTGTCTGTAGTGAAATCATGGTGATATTTGAGCTGAGGTGGGGAGGTGTGAACCAGACAGGTTTTGTAGCTACAGAGGAAAATTTGCTTCCAGATTCAGAGTCTTAGTGTGTGAGATCCGTACGCTTGGAGTATTGGTTGGTATGAACCTGCAGATGGGACTGGTGATCCAAGAGTGCAAGCCTTGGCTCCTGAGATCGGAATCATATTAAGACAAAAATACTCAACTTTGGTGTTCAAAGAGTTGGCGTCTTCAGCCAGTGCTGTGTGTTTAAGTGTCTGTTTAACTTCTTTTTCCCCTGAGTGGATGAGTTTTGTCAATGGTTGGATTTCTCACCAGTAGAGCTGCAGTTCTTTCCCAACTCCTGTGATCTTATCAGGAGATGCCTGAGCCAATTTCAACAATTTTTATTGCATAGTTCATTTAACTTGCATGCTTGCTCTCTCTTTTATTTTTCCTTTTTTTTTCCCCCT